GAGTGGGTCACATTCCATGCATGCATGATTTTTTGGGATGAACACAGCTACCATGTATAACTAGAATGCTCTACTAAAAATAATAATAAAAAGAAAGTGACCTGAAATCTACAACAAAGAAATTAATTTAAAAATTACTATAATTGTACTAGTTTGCCACACCTGCTGAAACAAAGTATCATAAATTGGGTGGCTTAAACAATAAGAACCTCAGTTCTGGAGGCAGAAGTTCAAAATCAACATGTCAGCAGGGTAGATTTCTTCTGATGTCTGTGAACAAAGGATCTGATCAGGCCTCTTTCCATGGTTGGTAGAATGCTATCTTCACATCATCTTAATGCTCTATATATCTTGTGTCCAAATTTCTCCTTCCACAGGTACACCAGTCACAGTGAATTAGGGCCTACTGTGTGACCTCATTTTAACTTTATTACCTCTGTAAACAATGTTTCTAAAAAAGGTCATATCATGAAGTACTCTGGGTTAGGACTTTATATAAATTTTAGGGGAGACACATTTCAACTCACAAGCCAGTTCTATTCCTAGATGTATGTGTGGTTTTGTTTTAAATAAACTAATACTTAACTGTCCTCCAAAAGAAGTTGAACTTCTTTCTCAGGTAGTTCTTTCTATACTTCTGTTCATCCCTCCTAAAATTATGTCTAATTTAGGAATATGATTGTATATGCTTAATGTCTTCTATTCAAAACTTATGGGTGTGGAAATGACTATGGCCGTATTAATTTACCTCCAGCAAACAGGTCTTTGGTTCGTATTACAGTGTGATTTTAATTTGCTTACCTCTCCACTGATATTGTAAGTTCCCAAAATGAAAGGTCCATGTTGAAATTTTTTTTTCCCATTTTATGTACCCCCAGAGTTTGAACAAAGATGGGGCTCAATTGATACTGAGGAAAAATTTTCTAATTTTACTCTCAATGCCATAGGCTCCAGGAAACAGAAGAGTTGAGTAGAAGATCAAATCCTCCTTTTTATTGGGTGAGGCAGTGGCATACAACTATAATCCCAGTTACTTTGAAGCTGAGGCAGGAAGATCACAAGTACAAGGCCAATCTGGGCAATTTAGCAAGACTCTGTCTCTAAATTTTAAAAGGGGACTTGTGGACGTAGCTCAGTGGTAGAATGCTTGCCTTGAATGGCAGAGCCCTGGGTTCAAGATCCAATACACAGAGCCTTTTTTCAACCCCATCAGATTTCTCCTTATCACAGTAATGTGTCCTTGGGTCATTCTGTGGGTTTTAGGGGAAATTAGTAACAACCCTAATCCCACCTCAGGAGCCCTTGAACATGAAACAGCCTCAAATACCCCTGAATGAGAATTGTTAACCATAACCACAGGAAATGGTCTATTTCTGGGGATACTGAGGACAGTAAGAAGTGGTAGGTATACATGTGTTCACTTGTTGAATTATACACACTCCTTTATGCACTTTATATAAGTTATGAATTTACAATAAGACCTCTAAAGTGCAAGAAGTAAAATGAAGAATCAATAAATGGGATGGTATGAAAGTAAAAAGCTTCTGTACAGGAAACAATTAAGGACGTGAAGAGCCTACAGAATGGGAAAAAAATCTTTACCACCCGCATCTCAGATAGAGCATTAATCTCCAGGTTATACAAGGAACTCAAAAAACTTATTATCCCAAACCCAAATAACCCAATAAATAAAGGAGCAAAGGAATTGAGCAAGCACTTCACAGAAGAAATATGAATGGTCAAAAAATACATGAAAAAATGTTCAACATCTCCAGCAGTTAGAGAAATGCAAATTAAAACTACAATGAGATTCCACCTCACTTACCTCAGAATGGCAACTATCAAGAATACAAGTAATGGCCTGGGATTGTGGCTCAGTGGTAGAACACTTGTCTACCACCTGTGAGGCACTGGGTTGGATCCTCAGCACCACATAAAAATAAATAAATAAAATAAAGGTACTGTATCCATCTACAACTAAAAATATACATTAAAAAGTAATAAAATAAAAGTTTTGTCCATCTATAGCTAAAAATCTTAAAAAATACAAGTAACAATAAATGTTGGTGAGGATGTGGGGAGAAAGGTACTCTCAAACATTGCTGGTGAAACTGAAAATTGGTGCAACCACTCTGGAAAGCAGCATGGAGATTGTTCAGAAAACTTAGAATGAAACCACCACTGGACTCAGTTTTCCCACTCCTCAGCCTATACCCAAAGAACTTAAAATCAGCTTATATAGTGATGCAGCCACATCAATGCTTACAGCAGCTCAACTCAAAATAAGCTATTGAAACAAACAAGGTGTCCTTCAACAGATGAATGGATAAAGAAAATGTGGTATATATGCACAACATAATATTACTCAGCTGTAAAGAAAGAAATGATGGCATTTGCCAGTAAATGGATGGAACTAGAGAATATATGGCTAAGTGAAATAAGCCGGTCCCCCAAAACCAAAGGCTGAATGTTCTGATATGTGAATGCTAACCTACAAGGGAGGATGGGGAGGGTAATAGAAGTCCATTGGATTAGACCAAGGTGATGAAAGGGAAGGGAGGTGGGGGAGAATAATAGGAGGGCCAATAGAATTAATCAGACATAACTTTCCTACTCTTGTATTTGAATACACGAACAGGAAATAGCATCCTAATTAGAATAAGTTATACTCCATGTATGTATAATATGCCAAAGTGCATTCTACTGCCAAGCAGAAATAACCATAATAATAAAAAAAGAACCTACAGAATGGGAGAAATCTTTGCCAGTTACTCCTCTGACAGAGAATATTTAGAATATATAAATAACTCAATATCGAGTCTGTAATCCCAGTTACTTGGGAGACAGAGGCAGGAGGATCCAAGTTTGCATCCAACCTGGACAACTTAATGAGATCATTTATCAAAATAAAAAATAAAAATGGCCAGGGATGTAGCTCAGTGATAGAGAGATGCTGGCTGGGTTTAATCTCCAGCACCGCACAATAAACAAACTAATAAAATATATTTACAGCAGACAAAAGGAACTCTTACACATCTATTGGTAAGAATGTAAATTAGTAGCACCACTAGGGAAATTAGCATGAGGTTCCTCCAAAAAAGAAGAATGAAATTACCATATGAAGCTATACCACTCTTTGGTAACTATATATAAAAAAAATTAAGGTCAGTATATAGAGATACATGCATACCTATGTTTATAGCAGCACAATTCATCATAGAACCAGCTTAGGTATCCTCAACAGATGAATGGATAAGGAAATTTTGAGCTGTATATATATATATACACACACACACACACACACACACACAAACAGTGGAGTTTTATTCAGCCATAAAGATGAAATTATGCCAATTCCAACAAAAGTGAATGAAGCTGGGAAACATCCTGTTAAGTGAAGTTAAACTCAGAAGTCAAAGTCATGTATATTTTCTCTCATGTGGAAGCTAGAGAGGAAAAGGTGGGGGGAATCTCATGAAATTAGAAAGGAGCTGGACATGGTGGTGCATGCTGTAATCTCAGCTATTCTGGAAGCTGAGAAAGGAGGATCACAAGTTCAAGGCCAGTCTTGACAACTTGGCAAAAATGTCTCCAAAAATTCAAAGGGGTAGAGATGTAGCTTGATGGTAGAGTACCCCTCAGTACCACCACACACACACACACAAAAAAGTGGGGGGGGGGGGCAGGAGAACAATGGATCAGAAGAACTGGACCAGGGGAGGAACAGGAATGGAGAGCACACACCTGGGATATTAAATTAATCAAATTGTTATGTGCATATTATGAACATGTCACAATGAAATAAACAATAAATTAAAATAATAAGATTGAAGAAATGAGCATTCTTAATACTAATAAAAAACAATAAACAAGCTGGGTGCAGTGGTGCACACCTATAATTCCAGTGACTCTGAGAAGCTAAGAGGAGGATCAAAAGTTCAGTCAGCCTTAGCAACATACAAGGCACTCATCGACTCAGTCACTAATATTTTTTTAAAGGGCTGAGAATGTGATTGAGTGCCCCTGGGTTTAATCTCCAGTACCAAATAAAACCAAACCAAAACCCACAACAACAACAACAAAACAACAGTAAATAATTTTGAATTTTTATATAAAGATTTTATACATGAAATGTTCTGGATGCTTTATTTGTAAAAGCAAAACAATTATAAACAACCCAAATGTCTACCAACATGTGAGTGGATAAGCAAATTACAATACATCCATATGATGGAATATTATTCAGTAATAGAAAGGAATGAATTCCCCCATCCCCCGCCCCTTAGTAGGAATCAAACTGAGGGATGTTTTACACTGAGCTATATCCTCAGCCTGTTTTTAATTTTGAGACAGGGTCTCCCTAAGTTGCTCAGGTTGGCTTTAAATTTATGATCCTCCTGCGTCAGCCTTTGGAGTTTCTGGGGTTACTGGCATGTGCCATAGCCCCTGACTCATCTCAACGTTTTAAAGAACATTAACTCAAGTAGATATACAGTGTAGATGATCCTGATAACATCCCAAAATGGAGTATACACAACTCCTTGGATTTCCTTCCCCAGGGATTCTCCTTCTCTGATGAATGTACCTTCTACTTAACCAGTTGTTTGGATCAGAGAGGGTAACTGAACCAATGCCAGCTAATAAATCAATTTTCCTGGAAAATACGGAATTGTATCTAAGAATCTAACAATAATCTGACTTCTCCCTTACACAAAAATAAACTTATACATTTTCTACCATGTGGACTAGGAAACAGAAATATAGTTGGAAGACTGAGAAAGAGGTAAGCAAGAGAAAAGCATAATTTCCTGGTTTTTCCCCAGTGTTGCGGTCTGGTTCCAGTCTGTTCTAGAAAAATGACCTTGGGTGTCATGATTCCTTACCACATGACTTTTCTAATAAAATTTACCCTTTGTGAGCTTAGATGAATTTCTATCACTTCCAATAAAAATATTGTTAAAACATATTTTATCGTTAAAAGAAAACACTGGGTCACTTCATATTGGAAAAGTAATTATTTATTATGACAAAAATAAAACTGTTGACTGAAAACAAATGAATGTTACACTATATTGCACCATGATTGTAAATGACCCAAAACCTGTTTAAAAGATGAACATTCCAGAGCAAACAGCATCCTTTTACTTAGATAAGTAGGCATGCAAGCAACTCATTATGACGTAATTGTAGAAATAATCATGAGAACCAGCCACCTGAACTTAACATATAAAATGCATTTCACAATAGTAATAAAGTATTAAAATGACAAAAACACGTCTTTTAAACAACCCACCATCAGAAGAACATGCTTTGAACCATTTGTAGGAAGTGATGATGTGAATCATTAATTACCTTTGCAATTTTCTTGGTTAATGCTTATAATCTTGAACCAATGGCATACATTTCAGTTGCTTGGTTAGGGTTCAGAGCAATTTGTGGTGTGAAGGGTATTTTTTCTTTCCTCAGAACTACTGCAGGGGGCCCACAGAGAGATCTGACTCAAAATTTTGACCTTATAATGCCATTTGTATTTGTTTAGGCTGATTAACTAAGATATACTGTTTATTGCAAAAAGCTTGAATCTTTATGGATACAATTTAAATTTTAAAAAATGAACATAAATATAAATACACACATTTTAATGTAGTTGTACATTCTGAGGCAAGAAGTATATTGAATATGGGACCTAAAGCTTCCTCTTTAATGGTCTAAAGCACCAATTTATGTTAAGATGGCAATGTGTGATTATAATCATTACACTCTGATTAGAGTGCAAGAGCAAGGCTGTAACTGCTTTTAGTTTTTTTTTTTTAATTATGCTCTGTGGACTAGATGAACATGATAAAGTTTATAACAATCCAATAACTGAAAAAAATAACAACAACCATCATTTCACACTTTCAATGAAACAGTAGCTCAACTTTTTAAAAACCAAAATTAAAAAATTTCATAATCCACACTGAAAGTTTACTCCAAGAGAATAAAAGAGGGGTTTCAAGTCCCTGAATTTCCTGAGGGAAAATGTAAGATTAAAATGATTATAGTCTTTTAGGGGATAAAACATGCAAAGAAACTGAGATCAAATGATAGTCATTTGCTATTTTAACCAAAATTGACGGAAATATATTCACAGAATACTACAACCACTCAAATTAAAGGATTTTCCTTTCCCTTATTCTATTTAACTAATTAAATATTGAATGAGTATTGGCTCATTTGCTTTAATGAAAACTGTATGTGAATCTGATGCATCATGTTAGCCCTGCTGATAATAAACAATTAAGAATAAAACAAAAATCTCTTAAGGAATTCGATTCCTTAGTTGTGAATTTTGCATATTTCAAACACAGTTTGGGTGAATGGGGTATTATGGGATGGTGTAACATCCCACAAACTTGAGCAAAGCACCTTGTGGACTGAAAAATGAGGTAACTTTTTAATAAAAAATTTACAAGTTGGTGCAAGAAAACATTTCCACTCTTTCAGAACGTTGTTTTCCTTTTTCTTTTCTTTCTTCTTCCTTTTCTTTGGGGACTGAACCCAGGGGCACTGTACCATTAGTGACATCTCCAGCACCTTTTTGTTTTTTTATTCTGAGATGGTCTTGCTAAGTCACTTAGGGCTGGTCTTGAATTTATGAACCTCCTGACTCAGCCTCTCTAGTTGCTGGGATTGTAGGCATGTGCCACTGACCCTAGCCAGGACTTTGTTTTCTATTCCAAAAGCCACGAAGAGCACATTATATTATCTCTTCATTTTCAGGAGAATATTTAGATAGATTACTGGTTAAGGGGCGGGGATGGGGGGTAGGTGGCAGGGAAAAGATGCCTGTATGTGACTATAGTTCCAAAATCTGAAAACGTAACCAATCTTCAATTTTTTTGGTGACATTAAAAATAATACAGGTCAACTAGTTCTACAGTAAACTATTATATACTTTCTAGTAATTACAAGTGCCTTAAATAGGAGGGGGAGAAATTCATTCTTCCATTCACATTTTCTTATCTAATATCCTTTTGAAGATTTTATATCTATCTTTAATTTCAAATATTCAGAATTTGTTTCTAATAGCATTCAAATTAACACTATCCAAACATTTCATCAAAGCACATATATTTAAAGCTGACTCTAGGCCAACTGAATACATTTCCTCCCCTAAATTTAAAATGTAGAAGTTAAACATATTTTTCACATTGACCTTTTCTAAAATAGCTTTGGTTACCCAAAATTCTTAAACTATACATTTTTTGAGGAGGAGCCTAGCTTTTGGGTTGTCTTCACAGTTAAAATCAATGAATAATGATGAGACACTACTGGAAAATTTAACCTTCAATATAAAAAAGTTTCAAATTTATGCAGACATTTATAAAACAAGAACAGTCTGTCTACAGTATATTTTCAATACTAAAAAGTTACACAGAATTGTAGTTTGGGGTAGCATTTATAGGCAATAAACTGAACTAACCACTTCCATCCAATTAGGAAAGCCAGGAAAATGAGCGAGATAAATTTTCCAGAAGAAGGTATTTCCAATATACACCAATGTTTTTTAAGCAGTATATTATTTTCTATGCAATATGGCTTGTTTTCTCTTTTGTATTATCATTAGCCATTAATTCAATTTAAGTTGAATAGTAGTTATTAAATTTCCTACTTGTTTGAATAATAAATGAGTGATAAGGGGGTAGGAATCAAATAATAAATGAGTATGATTTAAAAGTTTTTTGGTTCAAAGCCATAAATTAAGAATTTAAGAGAAATGCCAATAAAACTTATACATATATATGTACAGGACTAGTATACTTTCCTAAAGTACATTTATGGATTAAGTGAGTGCTATTCAGAAACAATTTCATCTATAATTTGTCCTACAACACTAGAGCAAAAAGAAATAAAAAAGCTTCTATTGTTTTCTTCAAAATTTTCTTTGCTTTGAGCGTTCCATGGCTCTTCAGAGGCTACTGTAAATGGCATTGCCTATATTACTCACTGCTTCCATAAGAAAATAATTATTTTCTCTTTATTTTAGAGATAAAAAAAGTTCAATTATGCTTAATCAAAGTGATTATGGCTATAGGGGTGGTGACATTTAGAAATTTTCAGCACTGAAATTTGTATTATCTTTTCTCTAATGAATACAGAATAAAATATACCTTTAAGCATACTAACACAAGAACTTAAAAGCAAAAATTACATATTTAATTCTCAGTTTTCAATAGATTTTATGTGTGTATGTATATATATATATAATATTTCAGGTTTTAAGAAATTAAATTACATTAACAATATCAAATATATTCCCTTATTAAAAAAGGACAGTTAATTCTAAGAGTTCTCAAGTGAGTTTCAAACAGCAAAATCTCAGAATTAAGAAAGATGCCATATTTGAACTTGCAAAAGCAAGTACATTTTAACACAATGAAAATATTTTCCTTAAAATTTAAATTCTTTGGGGTTAGGGTAGAGTGCTTGCCTAGCACTTGTGAAGCACTGGGTTCTATCCTCAGCATCACATAAATAAATAAAAAATAAAGGTATTGTATCTATCTTCGACTAAAAAACAAAACAAATAAACAACAAAAAACCCCACAAAACTTTAAATTCTTTATCCTCCAATTAAAAATAAAATGTATAATAATCTCCTGAAGGTAATATGTGTTGGGTTTCTTACTTTCCACTTATTAGAAACTTTGCTATGCAATATGTGGAGTGAACAGAGAGGGTAAAAGCTCAAATTATTCCCTTGTTGAACTAATTAGCTGCTGACTTCTAAAGAACAGGTATAATACAAAATTAAGAACTTATCTCAAATATGAATAAAGGCACTAATCACAAATTTACATTTTTCAAATAATATATATTGGCTGTTATAATGAATAAGATCAATGCTTCAGTATTAGATACTTGCTTATGTAAAGACATTCTCTTGGAGTAAAGGATGATCAGTTTTCATACTATGTAACAGGAAAGATCTAACGAAAACCTTTTAAAAAGTTTTGTATGAACTTCCTAATTGAACTTTTCCCAATCGTTGGCACAAAGTCTACTTGAATGATGACTTCCTCCTCAACAAACAGCTAACACAGATCACTTCTAATCCAAAAATAACAAAACAGTTTTAAAAAATTACTTAGAAAATTAAATAGTGAATCTTAGACTCTACTAGTATAGCTGTTTGACAAAATACAATCAACTATTAAAAACACTTTCAATATAATGCTGATGTGGTAATATAAAAAATAAACATGTAATTTGATAGAAGAGAACTGAACCAGCCAATCTTATTGGATACATGAAGGCAGATAATCATTTCATAAGAATACTGGAGTACTAAATATACTTTTTCTCTCAGGATAGGTTCGAGAATTTTTCTTAGTACTTACAGTAAACAATAAAACCAAGTAGAAATTCAGGCAAAGTGTGCTTTAGGCAAATGGTATTTTCTTAATTCCCATCTCCCTCCACCACCACCACTCACAACACACACACACACACACACACACACACACACACACCCCACAAAGCATCTGTATTGATTTATATCTACTTTTCTCACTTGTTCTTGATTATGGGTTATATTAAAACTAAACTAAGCCACTACTTGGTATAGAATAATTAATTAAAAGGTTCAAAATAAAGTTAATTATTTTCCAAAGTCCAGAAAGCTTTCTCTTGGCCATTTTTCTGTTCGAGGGCATGCTACCACTAAATAACTCAGAAAAGTGTTATCAAGTTTATCTCAATTAATTAATCTCAATATAGTAAACTAAATATACCTGAAAACAGCAAAATTTAAATTCATTTACAAATAAAACATTAAAATTAAAATACCACTTTTGAACAGATATTTTGATACTCTTATGAACACTGAATCTTATTTTTGATCCAAAAGAAAAAAATACTGCAAGAATGGAATAATATTCTCTAAATATATGTTCTATACCTTCTTTAGAGCAAAATCACACATTTGAAATAAAAGAATTCAAATTCCTGTCCTCCCTCTTAATTGAAAATATGCAATGCTTACATATTCATATTAGACAACTGCCTCAAAACCTTTTTAATGCTATCCAATAAATAAACTTGATTATGACGTTTCCTGCACTTTGATTTCTGAATTTATGTGGTGTTAAGAATACTAACTTTGAGTATTATAGTAATATTATAAAAGCTAGGATTAAATTTAGCAGTTTCCTATAAGATTTTAGAACATGAAGTATACATAACTCAAAGATGGCAACTGTTTCAAGGCTACTCCATACAATATTCTCAAAAATATTTAAAGAAAGCCCCATGGTTTTTTAATATTCTGCTGGTGGCAAAAATGCTATTACAGACACTAAATTTTAAGGAAAAAAACAAGGACTATTCATACTTCTGCTTTAGTTACTGTCCAAATGTTTTCTTCAAATAATAGCTGAAATTTTGTGGATAACAGAGTTTTGCAAATTGATAGTAAAATAGATTCAGATGTCATATTTTAATTTTAGTGCTGGTGTGCCTTAATAATTTCTGATTATTACCAGATTAATCCAACAGTATTTACCATCCATGCCAGGCTTTCAAATAAATATTTTACCTGGATTAGTTTTTACCAAATGTTGTAAGCACAAAAGTGAACTCAATTTCTTTAAATAAATTAATAGTCCACTTAATTTCCATGCTAATAGCAACTTATAATTCTTCCATGAAATGCAATATGTGAGGGAAATAAAGGCAAATATCCATGATGGTTAATCTTTCTAATATGTATCTTCTAGGCAGATTTATTTCTTTAGAATAAAGTCTGTCAAAAAGATAAATGATTCATAAAAAGAACAAATATTTAGTGCTGGAAAAATTTGGAAGTAGTACCTGATAATTTCCACTAAAATTCTGTCAAAACTGGAAGGAGGGAGTGGTGATCATAAATGGAAAGAAATTGGTCATAAAGGTTATAACAATACTTTTGAAAACATTAAACATATGACAAACATTTTTTACAAGGCAGTCACTGAATAATTAGAATACAGAATAAGCAGTCAGAAGAGTTCTGTTGCTGAAAACAGTTATGCATTATGTTCATCCAACTGAAGATTAGTGCATTTAAAAAAAAGTTAAGAAAAAATCTTTTATGTTCCAGTTCAGCTGCACTTGATTCAAGTGTTGCTCATAGAGGTTTGTGTTGTTATAAATTAAACATGCTGCTGCCTCAGCAGCCAAAGGTACTAGGAAAAATGTTCATGTCATAGAATAAATAGAGCAGTCCTTTCAAGCTAAAAAGTTATCTTACGCCAATCCGGGACGTCATCCACTCTAGACCTTGGCATAACCTACACAAAGAAAAAAGTATTTTTAAAATTAATAAAAGATTCACTTAAAAAATTTTAAATCATTATGAGTCATTGTGGGAAACTGCTTTACTTTCATGTTGAAGATACAGCTTTGGCAGTTTTGACATGAAGACTACAAATCAAATGCCCCTCCCCTTTAACTGAAACCACTTGAAAAAAAAAAAAAAAAAAGGGCAAGAACTTCACCTTACCCTCTTAAACTCCAAAGAATGAAATACCTACAGACAACCTTAAAATCATGGGTCAAAGCATTTCTATAACACATCTATTATACTGCAAGCATTTCTAAGGAGAAAACTAAAAGTTAGGTTGATATGAAGAAAAACAAGTTCCTAGATATAAACTATATAATCTATGTATAACACACCTTGGCTTACTATCCACTTTCAAATTCTTAGAAAAGAATACACTACAATGGCATTTATCTCAAATGTTTCTTGTCTAGAAAAATTTCTTGTCTCCCCAAAAGGCTTCTGATAATAAAGGAGATGTATACTTGTGAAAAACTGGAAGCTTGGGTTTAAGTCCTTGCATAAAATATATAATTTCTTTAAACATTCTGTTCCTTTATAGTTCAGGTGATATAATAGTTTTCTCTCACTCAAAAAAATTATAAAAGTTAACAAATGAACAATAAAAATTTTGGACTGTGAAAATTTTATTCAAAACTTATTATTGCTAGACATGGTGAACCACACCTGTAATCCTGGTGACTCAATAGGTTGAGGCAAGAGGATTCAAGTTTGCGGTCAGCCTGTGTAACTTAGCTAGATATAAATAGATAAAATAAAAATTATTGCTTTTTTCTAGCTAAATATTACATTTACATTAAAAATTATAAAAAAGTTATAATTTTGTTTACTAAAATAATGCAACCCTCTAAGTCTGAGATACAGTATAAAAACCACCTTAATAACAGTAAAAGAAACAAAGATCCAAGAAGGAAACAGGTTTGCCTAAAAAAGTTGAAAGGACCCATATCTCCCCTCAGGTTGATTAACACTTACCCTTCTCCTGTTAAAGCACAGCAAGACTGAATGTGCCATGGATGATCCTTAATTGAACTAAGGGTGAGGTATTTAGAGATTTCAGCTGCCGTCATACACCCTTTCATATCCTGTTTATTTGCAAAGATAAGGACTGCAGCTTTCCTTAAATCCTGCGATCAATAAAAAATCTCTATTATGTGAGATATTATTAGTCAAACTAAAATAATAAAGAAAAAGTGTAAAATATACTCAGCAGACAGTTATAATGGAATGTCCCTACTTTAAAATGATCAGGCACTAATAATTAATTTTAAAATTTTGTTGAAATAAAAATAATCTCCATCACAATTTAATGGCTCAGTATAACAAAGACACATAAACATAAATCAGATAGTTAAAAGTTTTATCTTTATATTTGGGCAAACAGAGTTAAATTAAAAGTAAAATATACAGATAGTCTTGGTGGTACACAACCATAATTCCAGCTTCTCAGGAGGCTGAGGCAGGAGGATTGAGTTCAAAGGAGCTTCAGTAACTTAGGGAGGCACTATGCAACTCAGTGAGATCCTGTCTCTATTTAAATATAAAAAAGGCTAGAGATGTGGCTAAGTGGTTAAGTGCCCCTGGGTTCAATCCCTGGTGGGGGGGGGGGGAGAAAATATATCAGAATCTGAAATACAGACATGGCTAAATTTTAATGTTGTGAAAAGAACTGAAATAAAAAAATACACATAATAAGTATAAGAGGTTTAAAGAACATGGAATATATTTCCCACAACTCAGGTACAGTAAAACACAGTAAAAGTATACAAATAAGAAAAGAAATAACAATCACTACTTTTAGGATACTGGACAACCTCTGAGAGAAAAATCACATCAAAAGGTTTCATAAGAATATTTGTTAGAGGGGAGTGATGGGAGGCAAGGGAGTATGGGGGTAGGAAGGACAGTAAAATGAATCAGATATTATTACCCTATGTGCATATATAACTACACGACCGATGTGATTCTACATCACCTACAAGCAGAAGAATGAGAAGTTATCCTCCATTTATGTATGATGTGTCAAAATGCACTCTACTGTCATGTGTAACTAATTAAAGGAGAATGTTACAATGATCTCATTATTCATTAAATAATTTAATAATTATACTTGGGGAAAGACTAAAGGTTTTCTTTTTTCATATCTCACTTATCACACTTTATTCTAAGGCATGCATAAGAAATTTCAACGTGGAAAAAAACACTGCAGAAACAGTAGTAGCTTATAAATTAATGTCACGCTTTTTTATGTTTGCAAAAGTAATCAAATTTTGATGTCAAGATTTTCAATATGTACTCATGATTTTCTAATATATTGGAGTACCGATTTTCAAAGTAGCTTCTAATTATCAATTGTATTTCAAGCAATGTCTGTGGTGTTATTTCCTTTTTCACATCAGGAATTTTAGTAGTTTGAGTTTTCTCTCTTTTTCTTCATTAGCTTGGCTAAGATTTATCAATATTATTTATTTTTTCAAAGAACCAACGTTTTATTTCATTGATTTTTTGAATCTATACTCAAATAAAATAGAAAATCATGAAGACATCAACAAATTTCTAGACACATGATCTTCCTAAATTGAATCAAAAGGATACAGAAAATTAAACAGATCAATTTCAAGCCATCAAAAGCCTACCAGCAAAGAAAAGTCCAAGTCTAGATGGCTTCTCAGCCAAGTTCTACAAGACCTTCAAAGAACTTAAATAAATACTCCTCAAATTAATTATTCCATGAAACAGAAAAGGAGAGAACCCTTCCAAACTCACTCTATGAAGCTACTATCACCCTGATACCAAAACCAGACAAAGACACATCAAGGAAAGAAAACTTCAGACCCTATAAATATCCTTGATGCACATAGATGAAAAAAAATCTTAAAATAATGGCAAATAGCATACAACACATATTTAAAAGATACTGAACCATGATCGGGTAGGATTCATTTCAAGGATGCACGGCTGGTTCCACATACAGAACCAAATAAAAATAATATATTACATCAACAGACTGAAAGACAAGATCACATGATTATCTCAATAGATGCAGAAAAAGCATTTGATGAAATTCAGTATTCATTCATGTTCAAAACAGTAGAAAAACTAGGGATAAAAGGAACATATATCAACATTATAAAAGTACCTGTGGTACACCCAAGGCCAATATCATGCCAAATGGAGAAAACTTGAAAGTATTCCCTCTAAACTCTGGAACAAGACAGGAATCCCCTCTTTCACCACTCCTATTTGATATAGTCATGGAAACCCCAGCAGGGCAATTAGATAGAATAAATTAAAGGAATATGAATAGGAAAAGAAGAGCTCAAACTATCCCTATTTGTCAATGACATGATTCTATATACAGAAGACTCAAAAAACTCCAGCAGAAAGCTTCTAAAACTCATAAATTATTTCAGCAAAGTAGCAGGGTATGCAATCAACACCTATAAATCAATTGCATTACAATACACTAATGATGAATCAGCTGGAAAAGATTTCTACAATGAAAACTACAAAACACTAAAGAAAAAAATTGAAGAAGACCTCAGAAAAATGGAAAGATCTCCCATGTTCTTGGATACGCAGAATTAATATTGTCAAAAAGGCAATACTACCAAAAGCGCTATATAGATTTAATGCAATTCCTATTAAAATTCCAATTATGTTGTTCCTAGAAACAGAAAAAGCAGTCATGAAATTCATTTGGAAAAATAAGAGGCCCAGAATAGCCAAAACAATCCTCAGTAAGAAAAGTGATGCAGGAGGTATCACAATACTAGACCTCAAATTATACTATAGAGTTATCATAACAAAGATGGCATGGTATTGGCACAAAAACAGACATGAAGATCAAAGGAATCATACGTACAGTTTCCTCATACTTGACAAAGATGCCATAAACATACATTAGAGAAAAGAGCCTCTTCAACAAATGGTGCTGGGAAAACTGGAAATCCATATGTAGCAAAATGAAATTAAACTCCTGTCTCTTGCCCTGCGTAAAATTCAACTCAAAGTGGATCAAGGACCTAGGAATGAGACCACAGACTCTGAATCTACTAGGAGAAAATGTAGGCCCAGCTCTCTATCATGTCGGCTTAGGAACTGACTTCCTCAATAAGACCACCAAAGCGCAAGAAGTAAAATGAAGAATTAATAAATGGGATGGTATTAAACTAAACAGCATCTGCACAGAAAAGGAAACAATTAAGTACATGAACAGAGAGCCTACAGACTTGGAGAACATTTTTATCATCTGCACCTCAGATAGAGCATTAATCTCCAGATTAAAAACTCAAAAAACTTAACATCAAAAAGCCAAATAACCCAATAAATAAGGGGGCAAAGGAACTGAACAAGCACTTCACAGAGTAAGAAATACAAATGGTCAAAAAAATATGAAAAAATGTTCAACATCTCTAGCAATTAGAGAAATGCAAATTAAAACTACACTGGGATTCCATCTCACTCCAGGCAAAATGGCAAGTATCAAGAATACAAGTAATAAACAATGATGGCAAAGATGTGGGGAAACAGATACACTCATACATTGCAGGTGGGACTGCAAATTGGTGTAACCACTCTGGAAAGCAGTATGGAGAGTCCTTAGAAAACTTGGAATGGAACTACCATTCAATTCAGTTATCCCACTTCTCTGTCTATAACCCAAAGGATTTAAAATCAGCACACTACAGTGACAGTCACATCAATGCTTACAGCAGCTAAATTCATAATAGCCAAGCTATGGAAACAACCTATGTGTCCTTCAAGAGATGAATGGATAAAGAAAATGTGGTATATATACACAATGGAATATTACTCAGCCATAAAGAACAAAATGATAACATTTGCCAGTAAATGGATGGAACTGGAGTATACATGCCTAAATGAAATAACCTACTCCAAAATCAAAGGCTGAAATTCTCTCTGACATATGGATGCCAACCCGCAAGGGAGAGTGGGAGAGGAAGAATAGAAGTCCACTGGATTAGAGAAAGGAAGGAAATGAAGGAAAGGTAGAGGGAATGAGAAGGACAGTACAAATTAATCAGACATCACTTTCCTAGCCTTGTATTTGAATATATGACCAAGGTAACTCTGCATCATGTACTATCACAAGAATAGGATTCTAATCAGAATAAATTATAATCCATGAATGTTTAATATGCCAAAAGACACTCTATTAGTCATATATATCTAAAAAGAACAAATAAATTTTTCAATATGTAAAGTTTTACTAATGATGAAATAACCAATACCACTGTACACTAATCATTATAAAAAAGCAAAACCAATATACAGAGACCTGACACCATTATTTTTTGAAGATTTGTTTTCAAAACTTACCTCATGAGCCAACATTCTGTATAATTCTTCTTTCGTAATAGCTAGTCGTTCCCTGTCAATACTATCAACAACGAGAATGATGAACTAGAAGACAATTAAAAAAAAAGAAAGTAAGTAAGTTGAATGTGATGGTGAAAAATTTTCTAATTTACTCAAGTGATATTAGTAGCTTCTTCACATAGCATCGTCATTCCTATAAAATAGATAGTGCTATTATTAGTCACCAAGAGCTTACAGAGTACAAAATGTTAATAATAAGATGATAACTGATAATTTTAATAAACAAAAACTGTAACCAAGTTTATTTGTTAAAGTGCTTTTTGAATATATACTATGTAATAATATTTGCTTTTAAATGTGAATAAAATTGATTTATAAAAAGAAACAGTAATTTAAAGAATACTTTCACTAAAACATTACTCTATTATTCATTTACTAATAATCAGCTATATATTTATGAGACAGTCTCCCACTTATTGGAAAGAAAAAGTTAAAACAAATTAAGAATAATACTAATGTATTGGGAAGGTTTGCATTTCTGTAATCACAGCTACTCCAGAGGCTGAGGCAAGAGGATCTCAAGTTCAAACTTAGCAAGATCCCGTCTCAAAAAAAAAAAAAAAAAAGTTTTAAAGGGGCTGAGGATGTAGGTCATGCATCATTTGCGTAGTATGTATGAGGCCCTGCATTCTATTCAGTACCACATACAAAGAAAGTGCTAAACTATGTTAAATTATATGTATTGGGGTTAATATGCTAAAGGATCATGCAGATGAGATGAGAGAAAGGCAAGAGAGCCAGGACAACTGGAGTAATCCATTGGTGAAGGTGTACACGAAAAAAATTTGGTCTTGCAAACAAAAATACAAGGAACTTCAAACAAAAATAAAAACAAAAGAATGAAAGTAACTTTGCTAGGTAAAAAAAAGATAGTAAGAAAAGGCATCTAGCTCAAACACCTTATACAGAAGATAAATTTAAAAAATGAGATTATATGGTGCTAAAGATTATGTAAAGTAGGGCGGTAATCTAAAATAAGATAGAAAAGATGGAGTTAAGTTATAGAAATGACCTTAAAACTAGAGAGAGAGACAACTAGAGCAATCTAAATGTAAACTGAGAAGGGTTTAAGACAAAAGCAAAGGAAGAATGGACAGAATACCAAGAATTACATGTGAGTTAATGAGAGGAAGATGTCCGGAATTAACTCCTTAGATTATAATGTACCTTTTGGATGTCAGTCACTTCAATGCAAAGAATATTTAAAAATCAAGGGGCTGGGATTGTGGCTCAGCAGTAGAGCGCTTGCCTAGCACATGAAAGGCCCTGGGTTTGATCTTCAGCACCACATAAAAATAAATAAATAAAATAAAGATATTGTGTCCAATTACAACTAAAAATATTAAAAAAAAAAAAAAAGCAAGATGACAAGAGTGAACAAAAGATTAGTGAAATACCACACAGATCAGATCCCTGTCTGGAATCTAAGAGTGCAAATGCTAGGTGTCATGCTGGTGTTGCAACAAAGGCCTTTATTTTTCATAGTAATTTTGATATTCTTACAGAAATAGTTTATTGAAAGAACATTTCATGCATATGTTATCAGTAATAAAATCTTTTTATAAACTAAGGGCAAGTCGCCTAGAGTTTCATCAGTTTCAAAAACTACCCTTCTGAAGTGTTTTAAGTACACTTGAAACATCTAGAATTAACTTTGACCTATTTCTCAAAAGTGAACTGCTCTTTCACAGCTGAATTTAACTGAGCTTTGGAAAAAGTATTTATGCTGTTGACAAATGTATATTAATCTAACCTGTAACAAAAATATTTGCTTATCTACTCTTCTGCCTCTCCTCACCCCCATCCTAAATAAAATAAGTACTACCACAAGTGCTGAATATTTGAAATAACTCATCCTGGTTTACTACTTACACATTGCATTAGAATATACGCACACATACAGTTATGGTATTACAATATACATCTTTTTCTTAAAAAGGCAACTTTGCACACCAAAAATTCTTTCCATTTCACTTTCTCCCAAATCCAGTTTTTAAAAGGCTTCATTTTAAAAAATAATTCCTGAGGAGTACCTCTTTGCAAAGAAAAATTACATGGATTCTATTTACACTAGCATTCTCAAGATAAACCTCTCAGCATCACTGTATGACTTTAAAGCAACAACAATAAAAACTTGGCCTCTAAGAAAAAATAAAGCAGAAACTGTAGATATTCCAGATTTGTTCCACAGGCTATCTCTGAAGTAATAAGATAATTACATAAGTGATAAAGAACTCTGAGGGATGCTGCAAACTCATCTTTTTTTATTTTTAAACATTACAATACAGTCTCACCAAAATTTTAAATATTCATTTGATGCTATTTGAAAATATTATGTTAAATCATACTTAAAAATATTTTACTCCTTCTTTAATCATGTCCTTTTTTATTTTTGCAAGATTTTAGGAAAAGTTGTATAATTTCTCCTAATGTTAAATTTCTCCAATACTTAGAGATATTACAATATTGCTAAAAGAATAAACTGTGGGCACCTACTCAACAGTAAGAACTCAATAAATAATCACTCCCAATACTCTTTTCCTTGCCTTTTCTACTTAAAAAATCTGAATTCTGTATAAAAAAACCAATCTTATTAAAAGATAACTGTCAATAATCCTAATTTACATTCTATTTTCTGTTTCTTTTTCTTGTTAAAATTCAGAAGTATTCTTGGCATACCTCTGTGTTTGAGTAATATGTGTTCCAAGATGACCGTAGGGATTCTTGACCACCAATATCCCACATAAGAAAATGAGTATTCTTTACAACTATTTCTTCTACATTGCTTCCTATAGTTGGAGAAGTATGGACCACTTCATTCATTAAGCTGTTGAAAAAGACAAACACTATAAAATAAAAACTCTCTTGTACATTTTGAGAAGAAAAGTAAGTTTTATCCCTATATTTTAAGAATGAATCAACCTTTCTCAAAATAAAAACCATAAGCATACAAAATAAATACTTGGAGAACATTTGTGCCAATAAAGATCTAGACAAATGGGGGCTAGGATTGTGGCTCAGCAGTTGAGCGCTCGCCTCACATGTGCGAGACCCTGGGTTCAATCCTCATAACCACATAAAAATATATAAGTAAAATAAAGGTATTGTGTACAACTACAACTAAAAAGTAAATATAAAAAAAAAAGATCTAAAAAAGAACAAGTACTAAAGACTTTTTTGTTGTTGTTTTTTGGTATTGAGGATTAAGCCCAGAGGCACTTAATTGCAGAGCTATATCCATAGCCCTTTTTCTATTTTTATTTTAAGATGAAGGCTTACTAAGTTTTTCAGGACCTCGCTAAGTTGTTGAGGCTGGCCTCAAATTTGTAATCCTCCCACCTCAGCCTCTGGAGTTGCTGAAGACTTGTTTTTTTAATAGAATGAGATGTAAACTTGATTTGGATAGAAGGGAACACTGTAGTGTGAGTCTGCATTTCTGTGGGAAAAAAATTCATATACCACCAATTTTTTATTATTTAGTCAGAACCAATGCCTCATCCTCAACCAAGTTTCTAGGTGACTGACCATCAGTATCTGCAATGGCAACCATTGGAGAGTAGGCTATCCATACGCAAGGTGGTACACACCTGTAATTCCAGTTACTCAGAGGCTGAGGTAGGAGAATTAAAAATTCCAGGCCAGCCTGGGAAACCTAGCAAAACTTTGTATCAAAATAAAAAATTAAAGGAGCTGGCGATGTAGTTCCATGCAGAAAACTCCTGGGTTTGATTCCCAGTAACACACACATATGCACAAACATGCACATCAAAGGCTATGTGAGAAATTTAAGACCTAGGTCAGTCAAAAAATTAGTGCAGTTGGGTACAGTGGCACACACTTCTAATTCCAGCAGCTTGGGAGGCTGAGGCACGAGGATTGCAAATTCAAAGCCAGCCTCAGCAAAACAGAGGTGCTAAGCAACACAGTGAGACCCTGTCTCTAAATAAAATACAAAAATGGGCTGGGGATGTGGCTCAGTGGTTGAGTTCCCTGAGTTCAATCCCTGATAACACCCCCTCCCCCAATCAGTGTAGTACAACCCAAATTACAGACTTAAAAAGACCATGGGCAAATAAAAATCTTACATAAAATGAACTGTATATTTATACTGCCATAATCATTAAGTTACATTAATTATTTAATTCAACATGTATTTGCTGACAATATGACAAAGTACTGTGTTGGAAGAGGCTTCCAGTTTTCTCCTGAGTTTTATATATATATTTGAGGCTACATGAAATTATAATAAAGAGAGAAATTTCTTAAATATCTATATTTGTTGTTTAAAGACTTTTAAAATATTAAAATACACAAGTATTTTAGGTAGTAAGTTTTTAGCAAAGTAACTGAAAAATAACATGTATTGCTTAAGTGAATATTTCTGGTGAGCCACAGACTGATGCACATTTGTCTTTTTATTTATTTATTTTTTTTGTGAGGCTGGGTTTTGAACCCAGGGCCTCCTGCATACTAGACAGGAGCTGTGCTGAGCTACACTTCCAGCCCTAGATTCATATACTTTTAACACAAGATGTGGAGGGAAGAGGTGAGAGCTATGCAATCCTGTAAAGTACTTTATTATTATTTGTAAAAATGCTTGAGATCCTGATCCATTTTTGTAAGTTAACATCTCATTGGCACTGAAAGGATCACTGTATTAACACTGAAAGAATAATAAGAGTTACTTGGATGAGTGAACTGAACTCTTAATTAAATTTCTTAAAGCATTAATATATTACTCTAAAAGTTTCAAGTTTCTCCCTTTTGGGAGCTAATAAAGCAATACTTTGATCATCAGTACTTCAGATATGTCTGGTTATGCTAACTAATTCCAAAGCTATTAGTCAGGAGAGTAGTAAGTTCCCAGAAATATCAAGCTGGTGTGAGAAGAATTAAGTGAAATCCACTTTATCCACTTACCCAGTGCTATAATTTGTGTTTTATTTATTTTAGTTTAATATTGGTTCTTTCTTTTAAGGACAGAAAACAGAAAGTTCTTGTAGAAATATATATTTATCAAAACATGACAGCTTATTTACTTGCTTTTTGGTAAAATGCTGAAAAAACATATATATGTCTTCCTATTATATTGAAAAAGTGAATAAAAATGGCATCTCATTTTTGTTAATTACAAAATGTTTCAATAACTAAAATACTAAAAACTATTAAATATCCATACTTACAATTGATAAAGAATGGTGGTTTTCCCTGCATTATCCAATCCCACTATAATTACTTTGTGTTCTACAGAAAGAAAGCAAACCATAAACATTTAATACTGTTGCATACTACAATTACATGTATTCATACAATTACACATTTTCAACAATGATTATTACTTAGCCTATCAATGAAAATTATTTACTGGATTTCTACTTCTGAACTACTAAAATAAATTTAGAAGCACCGGTCACTTTGGGTATAAACATTAATGTAGACAAAACATATGACTCTGCTTTACACAGCTACTTAAAGTCTCTGCTAATCAAATTAGCTTTTTGTCAAGTTATGTTTACTTGTGATTTTCCACCTACATGTACCAGGATACTTTTCTTCTATTCACTTAAAAATCATTACCCTAAGTACATATATGAAGACCTGAATGGTGTGAATATACTTTGTACACAACCAGAGATATGAAAAATTCTATGTGTAATATGAATTGTAATGCATTTTGCTGTCATATATAAATTAGAATAAAATTTTTTTAAAAAACCCTCTTTTAGCTGAAAACTGCAATAATATCTGTTACCAAGACACACATTTTCTTAACTAGTTTTTCACTGCTTGTACTAATTTAGAGAAATATAAGCAGTTACTCAGTCTAGTGCTTTTTTCAATCTGAATTCAACAATTTTCCTGTGCAGATATTGTTTTTTGTACAACAAAAGTCATTTCAGTGCTTTTCTCCTTCTGGTGCCATGCACTAACTAGTCACTTCTTTATAAGCAGTTATTAAAGCCTGTCTAATTATTCTTTGAATGAAAAAGAGAAAACCTCTGGATACCACATAGAATATATTAAAGATTTCATTAATCCAGGGCAGAATGCTTAGAAAGCAGGATATGTATGGAAGCTGTCACAAGAACCAGAATACAAATTATTTTGAAGTCAACAATTTAGCATTTTGTATCCTGTTTCTCTTGATAACCTCTGATGAGTGTAAAAATTCTGATAATACATTTACCTGAATTCAGGTCATATTCTTATTCTAAAGCCTTAAATCAGTCGAGAGAGAGAGAGAGAGAGAGAGAGAGAGAGAGAGAGACACACACACACACACCAGGGTCCAGAATTAATGGGCAAATTCTTGAGATCACAACCTACTTTTGTATCTTCTAATGATTTATGCACTACAGGTACTGCCTGTAATATTGCAGGACAAGTAGATGTGTTCCTCTGGAAAGGGTATTTTCATTATAGAAGAAGTGTAAAACAAAACTAAACCAAATGAAACTAGTTTACTTATTGTAAGTCACTATAATTCTTTTTCCATTCTTTTGGTTCATATACCCTAATTTCTAATGGAGGCACTCTTGACGGGTGGTGCTGTTTGTTCTTGTTTATAATATAAGAACAAGAATACTCTTAGCACAGGCATTTTAAATTTTGGTAGCAGCTGAAAACTTTACTTCCTCAGCATCTGGAGACCAGTTAGAAGAAAGTCACTAATCATAGGGTAAGCAAAATTTAAAAGTATTTATGTATTTCTCTGAAAGTTTCAAGTCTTCTCTTTTGCAAGCTACCAAAGCAGTATTCTGACAATCATCACTTTAGATGATGCCATGCTACTCAGGAGTATCAGGGGAAGAGAATGAACAGACACTACCAAAATGAAGTGAATACCTCGAGCCATTTTCTTTCCTTTTTTTTTTTTTGTAGGGTTGGGACAGGAGGAACCTGGGATTGAACTTAGGGGCACTCAACCACGGAGCCACATCTCCAGCCTTATTTTGTATTTTATTTAGAAACAGGGTTTCACTGAGTTGCTTGGTGCCTCGCTATTGCTTACACTGGCTTTGAATTTGCGATCCTCCAGTCTCAGCCTCCGGAGCTGCTGGGATCACAGGCCTGCACCACCGTGCCCCACCCTGGAGCCATTTTCAAACAATTCTGCTTCACATTTTGATGATGATGACAACTAGAGTATTAAAAGGCCTAACAGTAAAAATCATGCATCATTTTGAAAGTTGGTCTCCCAAAGGTTGGTCTCCAAAGTGAATTAAGGAGAGACAGACTCTGAAGGTGGATACCATATAGATTTCATTCAAGTTGTATAAAACTGCTTCTAGCCCACACTGACAAGGAATTCTGGCAATTAAAACACACAATTTCAACTCTTATGATGAAGATATACACAATTATCCTTCAAATAAACTGAATTCTATCTTCTGATGTTAAAATTACCATCAACAATCTGAGTCTATCTATAAGAGAACATCAACTATAAAGGAATGCCTATGTGCTTTTAAAAAGCACAGAATAATAAGGTTTTAGATCTTTGTTCTGAAAAATATATTTATCATCATCTGTACAGTAAGAATAAAAGCAGTCCAAAAGTCATTGATTAAAAACCAATGAAAAATGCACTCTGTTGCATAAGAGTTGAAATTGTGTTTTAGGAAGCTACTAAATAATTGCTAATTGAGTATGCTGATGATTATATACTGGTTAGTAAAATTTTTACCCATTCAAGGAAAAATCAATTTGCTGTCACAGAATAAAAGGTACCCATACTCAGGGCAGGAATATTTGTGTTGGGGATAGAAATGTGAGTAAAAATAATTTTAGGTTAAGACATTACCATAACTATCAGAGTTACAGTAAATTAGAATGTTTTCTTTAAAAAAATGTGTCTGCATACCATGAGATCATTACCAAGGACATCATTTCACTGGAAATAACTTCCGGGAGAATCTCAAATTCAAGCCAGCCTCAGCAACTTAGCAAGGTCCTAAAGCAACTGAATGAGATCTGTCTCCAAATAAAATGTAAAAAAAAAAAAAAAAAAAGAGCTGGGGATGTAGCTCACTGGTTAAGTACTACTGGTTTCAATCCCAGAAAAACAAGAAAAAGAAATACCTTCCTGGAAACCAAATTGTGCTTCTTTCTCCAACAAGAAGCTGGGAGAGATTCTTCCAATGTTATTTATCTATGCATCTCCAGACCCCAACATAATGTTTGTTTATTTGTACTAAATGAAGGAAAGCTTCAATCGCAAAGTTTTAATTTTGATGAACTTTTTTGTATTCTTGGCTATGGTGTTAGTTCTTTTGGATTTCTTTAAAAATTGGTCCACGTTTTTATTTTGTAAGTAGTACAGGGACAAGACTTACACACAATGAGGATCCAAAAGAAATAAGTAAGAGCCCTTGCTTGTACATAGGAGCAGGTTAAAAAACAATGGCTAATAAAAATGAAAAAAGAAACTTCAAAGAAAAAAAGTGGGAGAAAAAAAAATCAAAGAAAGAAAAAGTTTCTCCTCGATTTTTAAAGTTTACTCAGTGGAAAAAGAATTTATAGTTTTAGTATAGAATACCAATTGATGCCCAATAGACTAGCATCATGGATACTAAACAGTAGTGGTATTAAAAAATAAATTGTAAAATGTGTCAAAATTTATTTTATCACATTAAAATTAATATTGTTAAAATATGATCAAATGTCCAACTTCTCATTTTAATGTGTAAGAAAGATATCATGAAATAGGGACTGCTACATCTAGTAGAGCACATCTATCCCAATGCTATCATGTAACTAGAGCAAGTACTATACTTTGTAAACAACCATAAAACCAAACAAAGGAAAAAAGAATCAAATTTAGTGATTTAGAAAATTTGGGATACTATATTTATAAAATATATGTTTGAATTATTGCAAAGGTGTAGACAGAAAAAAGTTAGACAGTAAAAAAGAGGAAAAAGCCTACACAGCAATGATGGCTGAATCTTGAAAATAAATATGCTCTCAAACCTTCTTTATCCCTGCTATATTAATTATAGAGTCATAAGATGTTACAGTTTAGAACAGAATGTAGAATCTGAGAAATATTTCTCTCTCACATACCTCATCTCCAAATGTACCTCTAATGAACCACACTCCCCCCCAAAAAATTACAAAATTACTGACATAAGAAAAGCTAGAACTTGTTTCTCTGTTAGGTTACACTATATTCACTTCCCTCTCCTTTCCTTTAACCACCAACAATAACCACATTTCTGGATGATTCAATGTTTTCAAACCAACAATATAGATATGATGATTCAACAATTCAACATTTATTGAGTTCACTAAATGCTTTGACTATGGGATATTCATGATTAAAATGAACAGCAAAAGATTTTAACCTCAAGAATCTTAAAAGTAGGGTAAACAAGCACTTAAAAAATAGCACCATTAATACGAAGTAATAGAGGTATAACATGGTAATATTCTTAAAGGTAAGAAAAAGCTAGTGTTCAACTTTCAGATAAGGAACAAAATGTCAAGAATAAAAAGAGATACTGAAGATTGTAATGTCAATAATAAAGAGATACTGAAGATTGTCATTAAGTATTTTGCATACATTATCTAGGCCAATTTTTGTAATTATCCCAGAAGAAAGTGATATTATTTCTCATTTTACTGACAGGAAACTCGAGTCTTAGGCTGAATAACTTTCCCAAGGGCATACTGCTGCAAAGTAAACAGAACCTCATCCAGCCAGGTATTTGGTTCCAGAGAAGCAATTTTAACTAGTAAGGCAATATATTGCCTTCATGATCATATTATAACATTATTAGCAAACTACATATACATAAATAAAATGCTTAAAAAGATCTTACTTTTAATTCCTCATATACACTATTTTTAAAGTTTAAAAACATTTAAATATATCTTCATGGGTATTTAAAACATAGTTTTTATTTCAAGAAGTATAGAGCCTATAGAAAAAGATAACCATGTTCCATATCTTTACTACTTCTCAATTTTTTTTTAAACAGGGATTAAATTTAGGGGCACACGACCACTAAGCCACATCCCCAGCCCCATTTTGTATTTTATTTAGAGACAGGATCTCATTGAGTTGATTAATGCCTCGCTCTTGCTGAGGCTGCATTTGAACTCTCAATCCTCCTGCCTCAGCCCCAAGAGCCACTGGGATTACAGGCATTCACCACTGTGTCAAGCTTCTTCTCAATTTTTAAGTAATATTTTACTACTAAAATAGTAAATACAAGTGTATTCATTACTTATCGTTTACT